CTATGCTAAAAAAGAAAAAAGAACTGCAGGCAGCATTAAATAAAGGATGCAAGAATTAGAATGGTATCCTAAAAACTCCACAATATACTATATTTTCCTTTCATTGATTAGCTACAGAAACTTTACCCTCTGGGCTCTCTCATGCTCTTCTCGAGCCTTCTTAACCCTTTCTATTCTTTCTTTGATCTCTCGCTCTTCGCGTTTTCGCTCATACTTTCTCCGATGTTCTGCAATTTTCTGGGCCTAGAAAAAAAGAGCCATAGAAAAATAAGCCTGCTCCAAAAGTTGAGTAAGATCAACATAAATAAACAGTTTTGTTAAGAGTTACTTTTCTTTGTGGAGAGAGGTTAATTCAACAAATTGTAGTTCTGAAAAATGAGTTAGATTTATTTACTTTACATAAAAAGACCTGACACAAACTCAGGCTTTAAAAAGACCATTTCAATTGTATGAGATACTGTAAACTGTAAAATAGAGGAAAGAGCCTATGGTTTGAAGTTAGTGAGAAATGCTATGATCGCAAACAATTAACTCAGCTCAAAGATGACAAATAGGCTTCAAACTGCATGACAATTCTTGCCTGATAGTTTCTACCAGCTGCATAGTGTTAAGGATTCAGAAGTTACAGCTGAGTTCAGCAGAATAGTATCCCTAATCATGTCTGCCATGAGAAGGCGGAGACTGGGAAAACACACACCAGCTATTTGCCACAGTCTATATTTAAGTTTCTTAAGCCATAAAAATGGGTGGGGGTGAAGGAGGAGAGAAATATTTAGTCTTATCAAATTGCTATCAAGATTAAGAGAGAAAATACATGCAAACATGTGTACCAAGCACTAGTAAATAGTACCAAATGCTTTGGATCTATTATTTATTCACAGAATAAATTTAAGAGATTTGTATTCAACTGTTACTTTAGCTTGTTTACAACTCTGCTGAGTTAGCCCTGTTATGAGAAGGAAGGAAAAAAGAATATCAAATGAAATCTCTGGCAATACATAAGTTAAATTAAATAAAATTTACACTATCTCAAAACCTTTGGGAATAAACTCTTGGTAGTGTAACTTCCCACAAAGCTGAAGGACTTACCATGTAAATGTACTGAAATTATTTTAATTAATGTTAGATAAAAATTATCTTAAAATAGAATGTTCTAGCTTTTGGATTCAATATTATCATTTTAAATAGATTGACTGGAACTTCCACAAGGCCCTCATACTTTATGAAGTGGCTATATACATCTATAACATATAAGGACAGACCAGACTTAATCTTGGGTCATGATAATTATAGAACTATTTCTTTCCTTGTTGTAAAACTGATACCCCCTTTTCCATTTTTAACTTTCTGGTTATTTCACTATATGCTTGCAAACAAAGTAACAGAGCTTGCTCTAATATAGCATTAGAAACAAAAGCATGGGAAGCTAATGAAATCTTGAATTGAGCTCTCTAAACTTCTCTAAATTACAGATTATAACCTCCAAATGTTTGTTTCTTTGCATCTGTTTTTCAGGTAAATTATGGCTGCAGGGGCTAAATACTAGAGCCATGGAGTACTACAGTAACAACTTTCTGTATTTTAACATACCCTAGGTTGAACTTCTTTCAGCATTGCACTAACATCTTCATCATAATCCAGTTTACAGGCAAGGGCAAGATCATGGGCTGCTTCTTCCCAATGGCCCAGAAGTCTGAAACAGATTTAAACTCATTTAAGGAGCCTTTGATATATATTCACCTATGTAGCACGGTGTCCTTCTTCCATATAAAAAGGGTTGTTATAGAAGAGGTTAAGTAAAATATTAACTATAAATATTCATCAACCAATTCAATTACTATGTTCTACACTGTTGATTAAGTCTAAAAACTTGAAGGAGTTTGAATTTCCTCTATGGTAACTGTAAAGCTGCTCTTCTACTACAAAAAAATCTCTAAAACCTTAAAACAAACAAAAAAACCCACCAAAAATCCTTTCTTAATTTAGAATATCATGAAATTATATAAAGAGTATGTAGAATTATAACTTTTAACTCATCAAAAATAGGATTAATATGATGTATATTTAGCATGCTACATTCTACGTAAGACAGAGGGGAAAATACATGTGTGCACACTTTACCTAAAAAAGATAATGGATAAATCAGAAACTAAAGTTGTTCAGTGGGGTAGGTAAGAATGGGTAGAAGAGACAGCAATGCAAATGGAGTTCTCTGGGTATGCCTTTTAACTCAGTTTTGACACTTCAAACATAAATGTTTTACATACTCAAAAAATAAAATTAAATCTGAAAAGGTGGAAATAAAGCTACCTCTAAACCTGAATATAAACAGAAATAAGAAGCTGTGCATCATACTGACAACATCAACTACACAGAAAAACCAATCCAAGTAACTATTAAAACAGTCATTTGGCTGGGTGTGGTGGCTCAAGCCTGTAATTCCAGCACTTTAGGAGGATGGAGTGGGAGGATTGCTTCAGGCCAGGAGTTGGAAAACAGCCTGGACAACACAGCGAGACACTGTCTCTACAAAAAATAAAAAGTAAAAAAATTAGCCACATGCAGTGGCACATGCCTGTAGTCCTGGTTACTCTGGAGGCTAAGGCGAAAGGATGCCTGAGCGCTGGAGTTTGAGGCTGCACTGAGCTACAATCATGCCACTGCACTCCAGCCTGGAAGACAGAGCAAGACCCTGTCTCTTAAAAAACAAACAACCAGACATAAAAATGTAACCAAAATGTTTGTACCTTCATAATACCTTGAAAAAA